GGGGAGGCGCTCTCGGTGTGCTTTAGGCAGCTGGCCGGGGGACAGCTGCCGGTCCCCGCTGAGGAGGCCCGGGGCGCTGGGGACGGGGCGGCTGGAAGCTGAACGGCCAGGAAAATTAAAGTTGCTGCCCTTCGGAGCCCGCCCTAGGAGCCACGGACCTCTCCAGCTCATCCCGGGCCTTGGCAGAGGCCTGGGCGTTAGCCAAACGGGGGCAGAATCATAGCGGGCCAAGAAAAAACGACGACAAAATACTTAGAGATCCTGGTTTGAGGAGAACCTGGGCACGCGGTTTTCCTTTTTTCCTTAGGATACTTAAGAGCACCTTAATCTAGATTAATTAAAAAGATTGCATATACCAATGGGTATGCCAGTCTTCAAAGCCGTGATTGAACAGTGGCACAACTACAAAAAAATATTTGGAAAGAGTCCAGAATATCTGTATGGGCTTGTCCCTACAATAGGCTATGGCTTTGATAAAGGTAATATAAGATTAAAAACGACGACATCTAAAAAGTTTTGTAAATAAAATGACATCAAAACTAGGCCAGTCCACATGATGTCAAATGCATTTTTATTCCCATCTTAAAACGTAGCTGGCCTTGTGTTAGCACAGCTTTTCAAAGGTCTTTTCTAGATCCAAGGTAAGGTTATTGAGAAAAGCCCTTTCTGACACACTCGCTTGGGCTGACGCTGAAGGAGCGGTAACAGGCACAACTCGAGTCCTTCGAGGGGTAAGGGCGCTTCCGAGACTGAAACCACCACATTGCCAACCCTACAGAAATAAAACCTGAGGCAGAGGGACGGAGTTGTGTGCGGGGACTTTTTGGTAGAGAGCGTTCTTTTTGTTGAGTTGTTGAGGGAGTTAATACAAAAGGCCAACTGGTGCCATTTGTGAGCTTTCTAAACCTAAAATTACTCACATAAATTGCAGTCCCTGAGGAAAACGACACCTGTAGAAAAGGCTCAAATCTGTGGGGCTCGGAAGAGATCAGCGCCTGGAGATCTTGGTTGTGTCTGGTTTCTCACGGTTTGGTTTGACTCCTTTTGTGGCACAGAGATGCATTCAGACGCAAGAGAAAGGATGAATACCCGTGCCTTCCCTGCTGTTACTTAGGAGGGGATACAGCTTCACCGTCGGTGGCTGGCGGGTATGGCACCCCACCAAAAAGAATAAAATGCAACTTCAAGGAAAAGGGGGTAGGCCGTCTGGCCGAGTGATCCGGGTGTGGAACAGTAAAGGAGTAAGGGATTAAACCAAACGCTTAACTGTACAGAAATGCCCAACTTGCGTTCCCCTAAGAAAGAAAAAAATACCTGCCGGTCGTTTAAAACTGTTTCTAAGTTTCCGCCGCTGTAGTGCTGAGAACAAGCTGACTTTTAATGCTGGGTATGGAAAACCCATGCCTGTACGGAGTGACAGCTTTCCTGTTTTACTCACACTGGGGTGTTTTCGCTGCAGTTGACTGCGTCCAGCTGAAAGTGCCGGTCATTCAGCAGCTGTACCACTGGGACTGCGGGCTCGCCTGCTCCAGGATGGTGCTTCAGTAAGTGACTCCTGGTTTGAACGGGTGGGAAATCCCGTCCCATGGGAGAGGGGTAGCGGGAAGCAGCGTCCAGGGAGGAGAGATGTGTTGAACAGCCGTGAGTTTAACTTAGTCTGGCGAGGTCACCGCTTCTCAGGTACCCGTGGAGAATTACTGCTGCCCGGGCCGGGCGCGGCTCTCCAGCAGGAACCAGGGCAAATACAAACTCAGCTGAAGCAAGGCCCTTTTCAATAATTGACTGTTTTGACAGATGCAAAATAGCTGATCAGCTCTGAGAACTTTGGAGTTTGGCATGCGTAAATAATAAAACGTTATCCCTCCTTCCTGCTGTTGTAATTCCGAACGGATACTTAGCACAGCGACTCACCCAGTTCCGTCCTGCGTTTGCAAGGGCCAGGTAGGCGTATCCCAGATGGCAGGTACGCACTGCCTCTGTCCTGCCGAGCCCCCAGCCTGTGGGATGCGTGGTTTTGTTCAGGAGTAGTTTCAGCTTCAGAACAATGCACTGTGTTGCCCTTTGGGGTTTTTTGGTTTTGTTTTGGTTGCTTTTTTTTTTTTAACTAGTAGCTGTCCTGCTGAACTCCTCTTTCCTTCCACAGAGGAACATGAGCTTAGGTGCAGGAGAAATACCTATTTAGATGTCCACTTAGTAGATATGAAGCAGAAGATTTTCATTTCTCTCCATCCCTTCTGCCAAGACGTTAGTCCGTGTGCTGGTAATTTCCCATCTTGACTACTGTAACCTCTGCCTCATTATTCCCTTTACCTCTTTGCCACTCCAGTCTGCCCAAAACTCAGCTTCCAAGATTAATCTTCTCACCCTGCTGATCTGACCTTGTTTACCCTGCATCCGCAATTCCAGTCCTTTTTTCCCCCCCCCCATTTACTTCCATTTGTTTTCTGACTTCCAGAACTCTGTAACTGCCTCTCCCCACCCCTCTGCAACCTGTCCCAAGCTTCCTCCTGACTTCATCTCCCCTTATTGCCTTTTGTGCCATCAGTGCCCAAGACAAGCTTCCTTTGAATATTTACCGACTTCCTTTACAGTTCCTCCTTTTGAAATCCATCTATTGTGTGAAGCAAGTTTTAGTCTTTAACACTTCTTCCCGTGTTTGCTTTAATGTGCCTGTACATTTAGACTGTAAGCCCTTCAGGACAGAGTTCTGTACTTGCTCAGTATAGCTTGCCTAAGGTACACCACCTGTACACTTCTAGCAGTATAGACGAGTCAAGATACCCATACACTTCCAACTAAAAAAAGTCAGCAATAAATCCAGTTAAATATTCCCTACTCCCTTCCCCTCCCTTCAATTTGTGGCTCCTTTGTGGGTTGATTTTTTTTGGTTATTTCTTAGCCAAGCCCACTGTTTCAGTTTGTACGTCCTGTGATGTGGAGGCTTGGGCTACAGCACACATTTTGCTTCCCCTAAGATCCGTGCTTCCCTTCCCCTGCCTTTCCTAATACCGCAGGTACCTGAATCATTTGGACAACGATGAGTTTCAGAAAGCCATCCAGGAACTCCAGCTAACAAAGAGCATCTGGACTATTGACCTGGCCTACCTAATGCGGCACTTCGGTGTTAAGCATAAATTTTGCACCCAGACGCTTGGAGTGGACAAGGGCTACAAAAATCAGGTTAGTATCCTCATCTACTGGGAGACAGCACACAGCTTTAAAAGCCCTGTGTGCCACGCTACAAAGCTCTGCTGTGTTACTGACACTTAACCACAGTTCCTGTAAACAAGGTTTGCCTGTTGCCAGAACGGGCACAAATCAGTTCCGAAGGCGAGGCTAGATACGATCCCACGTATTTTACATCTTTGATTCCATAATAAGAATATCGTTAAAAGTTTTCACGTAGTGCTCATGAAAGGTTCCAGCCTACTCCAGCGTATTTCACTGGATTGAAACTACCACGATTACTAACCAGGAGTGAATCTGAATTTATCATTTACAGCAGGATTCCTCATCCTGCTACCAGTGAACTCTTACCCCATAGCCAGATCTCCAACTTAACGCAGGCCCTTCCTAGCAGGGATTGTAAGTGGTGGATTACCTAAGGTAAACACCGTTCCGGTTCATAACTTCTCTTATTTCCACAGTCATTTTACAGGAAGCACTTTGACACAGAAGAGAATCGAGTGAATCAGCTCTTTGCACAAGCCAAAGCCTGCAAGGTGCTGGTGGAGAAGTGGTAAGCTTATTGTTTTCTTTCCTTTCTCTTTGGAGATTCTGTGGGCCCCAGGCTTTTCTTGGAGTCACCAAGCTAAACTGGTGAAAGAGACCGAAATCAAGCCTTGAGCCTTTTTTGTCAATCACAGAGTCTTTCTACTATAGCTGTCTCAAAAAAAAGTGGACATCAAGAGTTGAAAAGAAGTTTGAGGAAAAACACTCACGACACAGAATAAGCGATCTGAAAACGCTGACAGGAGTTGACTATTGTTTATGGTTTGAATTTGATTGTCCATTGAAGTTACCCAGTGCCTACAGCACTCTGGTTGGCCACTGCTGGAATTAAGGAGAGCGCTCCGCGGGCACACAACCCATTGTTCCCAGAGCTACGCAAACATTACAGCTCGCTGTTCCTAGACAGACATGCCAAGAAAAGGCTAGCGTACGAGCTTTTGCCAACGGGAGGATGAAATAAGGAACCTCTATGAAAGAACTGCAAACCCAGCAGAAGGGGAAAAACTGCAGAATTGTCACAACTGACAGCGCTGTTCTACATGGGAAATAACTAACCATCACGTTCAGCGTGAGTTGCATCCCGTTTTATAGCGAAGCTGGATTTGGATCTCTGTTGTCCAAGTGGGGTAAACGATTAGGAGTAAGAAAAGAGGAGAGGGTACAGGGCAGCTACAACAGCATTTGAGTGCTGCAGCACAACTTTCATTTAGCGGAATCATTATGTGTCCTTTTTAACATACGCAGAGGCCGCATGGCACCATCTGTTTAACTGGAGCTGTGACAGCACAGAAGGGACAGTCAGTCCACCTTGCTTTAGCAATCTCAAGATCGTGGCCTTGATCAAGGCAGGGACAGAGGGCATCTGTGCCCCTACTGCATCTGCCTGTGCCCGCACCGAGGCTGGGGCAAAGGGCAGAAGCGACACTGGAAAAGATTAAAAAGCACATGAGTTCAGTTAGTGCACACAGCCCGGATGAGTTTCTAATGCATATGGAATACACCTCTGCCTCGGTGAAGGACAGCTTTAACAGATGAGATTATAGGTTATGTGTGGTTAATACTCACTCTCTGTAGGAGGTACTATAGAAATAAAGCCTCAAGAGCATCAGGTAGTCCAAAATCACAACTGGGAGAAACACATTGCTGTGTGACAGAGGCAAATTTGGGCACGTCTTAATTCGGTTAGTGATTATACAATCTTCAGCTACTCAGTTGATAAAGATTGGGTGCTTCAGAGATAAGCTTTTCTAAGAGCAGGAGAGAACACTTCACTTAGGATTTTCCCACTTCAGAAGTCTCTCAAGTTACTGAATGAGTTGCCAGCTCCTTTAGTACTCTTCTCTGGGGCATCCGATACGTTCTGAGATTACACTTACGTTACTGCAGAACCCAGAGCTGTTGCTCTGCACTTCAGCAGCAGCAATGAGATCAAAAGGCCTTGAATGACACAGGTTTTGTTGGGCTTTGTCTGTAGCAAAGCTTGCAGGGTTTAACAGCAAAAAGCTGTTACCCGTGATACAAAAATAACCACGCCAGCTGCATGTCGTAAGTACCGTCCATCATCACACGCTTCATTGGATACCAGTCTCTTTCCTGAACTTGTTAATAAGCACATCTGGTTTTTTTCTGCAGCACAGTAACTGTTCAAGACATCCAAAACCACCTGTCCCAAGGTCACGTAGCCATCGTCCTAGTGAATGCAGTCCTGCTATTGTGCGATCTTTGCTCAAGTCCTGTCAAATACTGCTGCTTCCTCCCCATCGGACAGAAGTGCTTCTGCAGGAATCCTGACTACCAGGGCCATTTCATCGTGTTATGTGGCTACAACAAAGCCTCAGGGAGTATTTACTACAACAACCCTGCCTATGCTGACCGTGAGTAGCCTGTGCCTTTTGGGTGGATTCTCAGCCACCGCATTGCTAACACGTCTGTAACACAGAGCATAGCCGGACTGCCCCTAATGGCGTGTGTGTATCTCAAGCGTCGCTAACCAATTTGTTGGAAGGGGGCTTGCCACATTAATTCGATCAGTGCTGTGTTTTGTGCTGTGATTTACTCGAGGCATTGAGATACGCATTCTAGCAAACTTGTTTGGCTTTCAGATGGGTTCATGACAGATGCTGAACTGTTCAGAATATAACAGGATGGCCTATTTAGTACCTGCTTCAGTGAGCACTGCCTTTGAGGTGAACAGACTGACCTGAGTAAAGCTGTAACCTAGGCTGATAGGTCTAGTCTGCGTACTAGTTACTCTTCTTTGTAGAGGCTTCTAGAGCTAGTATAAGAGCCCTTCACAGGCAAATTCTTCTGAATTTTTACTAACACTTTACTCCTCCTTAACAGGAACATGCTGCACCAGCATCAGTAACTTTGAGGAAGCCAGGACAAGTTATGGCACTGATGAAGACATTCTGTTCATCTACACGGACAGCTGACGTCCACACCTGATGCTTCTGGTCCTTTCCTGTGCAGCCTGCGAGCAGCTGGCTGCTTGTCTCAGGACTCCCCCTGCAGAGACCTTGCTCCTGAACTGCAGTGGGATCTTAAACAAGGAAGGCTTTATAGACATTGATAGGACTATACTGCAATGCTGTCTTTACCTTTTTTTTTTCCCCCCTCATGATGTATCTGATTTTGCAGTGTCTGTCTCAGTTTTTTGTTTGTGTTTTTGGTTTTTTTCTTTTTTTTTCTTTTTTTCCTCATTTTCAACATTGCACATTTGACAGCAGGTTTGAAATACAGGCCCAGAGCCTGTTCACTTTGAGCTTATTTTCAAATTAAACACATGAGAAAACAGCACCAAATTTATGAACTTTAACACTTGGTAATACATGCATAGGTTTAGGTAAACAAAACCAGGAAAATAGAAATAGAAAATACCTGTTTCTCTCTCTGTCAAAGCATCAAGGGCTGATCTTCATCCTAAATCTAGGCATTTGAGG